GACTGAAATGGGCAGGAGCAAGTCTTCGGGGCATCATGTGACACTCTCTTGTGCCACTTGGGCCTATTGTTATCTGTTCTATCCTCCGAGTCGTAGGACTACTATGAGGGGGGATAATGTAAGGCCGGATGTCCCAGAACGGGCCAGTATGGCCTCACCTGACCTGTTTGGAGGTCGTATGACCTGTGCTTCGTATATAAGCATGAATCCTGACAAGCGAAGCTTGGCAGCGATTCGTCTCTCTTACAATACACTCCTATCTTTCTCCGAAAGCTTGCTCTCAGTGCTATCCGTGCTACTTACCATCCCATCTTTACACCTTTCTATTATTCTTCTTCTTTCTCCACCTCTTTTTCTTTATTAAATCTAATACTAGTGTTAGAAATTTGCTAGCTTCCCCAAGTTAATAGACCTTAACATGTTTAACTACTAGTAAATGATTCATTTAGGTACTCTAGCAGCTAGCTAAACTTCTATTTTAGACGCAGCCTTGTCTAAGAGAGACCTTATGGTTTTTAATTGAGAAAAAAATACAGTAAATACCCTGTTGCAAACGACTGTAGTGCAACGTTAGCGTTGCGAACTAGTAATTTAGCAATGTGTCGTGGCAAGGCTAGGCCGAAGGCAGTAGTGATGAAGCGCGAGAGACTGGATAAGTCACACGTTATACAAGGATCTTCAGCATTGCTCCGTGCTATACAGGTGAAAGGAAAAGGCGACCAGTGTTTATGTAAATTTCTAGCTATCCATCCAACACCAGCTATAACCTGCAACGTGCACAAGGAACGTAGAAACTTAATATATATATATTAGAAACATCAGCCCTGATTTCTTACAGCTCCAAGTCCATCGGCAATCTCGCATCAGGGTTGGTAAGGAACTCTGTCTCCTGCTCCTTAGCATAAGGTGGGTCATCCTTAGCCTGGAATATAGAGTTCGTCATTATCGACTTATGGAAATGGTGGTAGGCTTTGTTCTGCCTCCTACGGACCTTCTCCCGGTACGTTTCATATGCTTCCCTGCCGGAGGCAGCAAACAGATACTTAGGGTGAATGACAATTGCTTGTGCACCTTTCTGCCCAAAGCCGAAGGAGCTGACCATGACGGCCTTGACTTCCTGAGAAGTATGGATTGTCTCGCTAGGGAATGCAATGTGGTCGAACTGCTCGAGCGCATTATCGATGTTATCAGCGTTTTTGTTCCCGGGTATCATGTTCGTGTTCATAATCTGGAGAGCACCGTTCAGCATCCACGCAGCTGCCGCGCCTTTTGGATGGCCCGTTAGGTGCTTCTGGAAAACGGCGAGGACTGGGTTGCCCTTCGTTCGTCCAAGCTGGGTCATTTGCTCCTGAATGACCCCACACTCATTGAGCTCGTTCTTGATCGTAGAGGTGCCGTGGAACGAGGCAACCTGAATGTCATCAACAGTAAGACCCCAGGTAGCAAGAGCGCCGCGCATGGGTGAGATCTTCAAATCGCGCTTCCAGAACTCGTTCCCGTAGCTGTTGAGAACATCGGAGCGCTGCCTCTTCATTTCGATGGCGGTTGCTTCCAAGCGATGTTGGCGATATGCTTCAACGTCGAAGTCGACAGAGTCAATTTTGTATCTAGCAATCTCATCGTTGAGGCATTCGATCTCTGACTGCTCGTTCTCCTTGATTTGGGACATCCGGAGCTCAATCTGGCGCCTGCGATAGCTCATGTTGAGCAATGGGGATTCGAAGCTGCTCTTAGAAGCGCCACTAAAGTTGATGGTACCGCGGCCTGGAGCAGGGAGTGACCTGCCAGCTTTGTCACTTGCGGTACGAACCAGGGCGACGATACCGTGGATGGGCAAGCCCATTTCAATAGCGAGCTTCGCGCTGGTGAGCAGCTGGACACCAGAACCCTCAGACTCAACGAACCCACTGCGAGTGGAGGTCGCTGGACGAGACATCTCCTGGGCTGTCCTACCACGAGCAAAATCCTCATCACTGTTGATAGTCGCCTTCATGTTTGCGAACTCATAGGCGATGTCCTTAGTGAGAGAATCGTAACCGCCGACAAAGACAGCCTTGGCCTTACCACTGGCAATGACCTCAACGCCAACATCCAGCGACTCCAAAGCTGTAGCGCAAGCGCCAACCGGTGTAATATTGGGTCCGCAGGAAGATAGCAGCAGCATATTGATCCATGCATTGCCAGTGTTGATAAAGGACTCGGCCAGCACATCGTTCTGCACCGGCTTGCCCATGAAACGCTCTTTGTAAATGCCTTGCAGTGATGCAGTACCTCCGAAGCCTGAGCCTACACATACACCTAGCTGAGAGACATGGATATACTTGTAGAATTCATACGGATCAGTGACACCAGCCGACAACAAAGCCTCCGCGGTACAAACCAAGGCATACAGAGTGGTAGGGTCAACTTGGCTGACGATATCATCGGCGATGCCATATGTTTGTGCGCCTGACAAGAATCAGTAGACGCTAAAATCATTCTAGGGAACTACTCACACCAACCGGTGGGGACTTGGCCACCAACAGTGCGGTCGAAAGCCAAAGACTTGGGCACCATAAGGCGGGCGCCCTTGTGTAGCGTGACGATGCAGGTATCACCACCAGCATTTGGCTTGACGGTGACCTTCTTACCATTCTCGCGAAGGAGGTCCGCGGCAGTTTCTTTCGAAACTTCGAAAGGAGCAAAGTCATGCTGAATGTCAATCTCGTGGAGGACTTGTCGCGCTGCAGGATCGGGGCCATCAAGGGATCGAGCGTCCAGGACACGCACACCACTGTGCTTCAGTATGTACTCTTCGTACTTCTGCTTGATCTCGTCATCATTGATAGGCTTTTTGGTGTCTTTCTCAATCCAGCCCCTGTAGGGTTGACCTTCGCCGGTCTGGTACTCGATGAGTCCCATCATCCAAGCCATCTCGATGAAGCCTTCAAGGGTGAATTGCCCAAAAGACTCCATCTGCCACCGAGTACGAGAGCTGCCATGAGGTCCAACTTCGCCAAAGCCAACGACGACAACGACCTGTAGGCGGTACAGTTAGCAAAATAGTCATCAGAAGAGGGGGTGTCATAGACAGGCCTAGAGTAGCTCGAGGGCCTTTCATGGTTTAAGGGTAACCTGGAAGTTGTGCGAAATGTTTCAGGAGTACTAGGATAAAGTTGTATGTACGTACCTTCTCCAAGTCGATCATACCTTCCAAGGCGGAAAGTTTTTCGATCTCAGGGCTGTAGTCGAAGAGCCTTGGGAAGTCGAACTTGATGTTGGCACGCTTCTTGAAGGGGGCAAGGGTGGTGGACTTGGACGCCAGAAGAGGCATATCGAACTCCGCCTTCTGCTCCTTGATAAGAGCACGTCGGCTGGAACTGATGTCAGATAGCTCCTTGCGAATAGCAGCAATCTCCTCCTTGAGGTTCGGCACCACACTCATTCCACCACTAAGATCAGCGAGGAGTGGCTCAATGTGAGTTACTTCAAGGACTGGCGAAGTCATCAAACCCATGATATTGAGGGCCATTTCATCCTGAGAGAAAGTCCTGAGACCGAGTGCCTCGACACCCTCGGCGACCAGGTTGTTATCGTTCATCAGACCAGTGCCACGGGTCCAGCCGATGATAGCACCACATACAGACAGGTATTCAGACCAGTCTTCGGTATGCCACTTGTTGAGAAGGCCCTCAAGGCCCAGCTTCGACTCTGAGTAGAGACCGTCACCACCGAAAACACCGTGGTTGTAAGACAGCGGCAGAATGACCTGAGCTGGTCGGGTGGTGATGCCGCGCGCTTCCTTGGCCTTCTTCACTGCGCCAAGTAGACGAAGAGTGTTTGTAAGCATCATGCGGTGAGCCAACTCAGACTTCGGTCCGAGCTCAATGCCGTTGGCAGTCTCAGAGATAGCTGCGAAAGGAATAACATGATCCAGATCCCATTCGGCATCAGAAAGACTGTAGATGTACTCCACAAGGGCCGCTGCGTCTTGGGAGCTGCCCGCATTGTATGGGATGACCATGAGGCAAGAGCTTTTAGCACCCCACTCCGAGAACATCTTCTGGTAGAATTTTGTGGCCTTAGTGTAGGAATTGGTCGTTACGATGACCTTGGCGCCTCCGGACAAGAGACCTTGCACAATGTTCGCACCGATTGAACCCTTACCAGCACCAGTGACAAGTACGTTCTTACCCTGGAAGCCAAGTCCAGTCGAGATGGCTCGGTGGAGAATTTCACCATACTTTGTGCTCAACTCCTCCGAATCGTTCCAGGATCCATTTGACTTCCGCTGGATCGTGAGGTAGTAGGTGTCACATGTGGTCGGAGAGTCCAGAAGCCAAGCGAGGTCAGACTTGGGAGATTTACTCGGGGTCATTGAAGGCGTGGGAGGCATCAGGCCGAAGCCAGTGTGGGTGGGCAGAGGTCCTTTGCCGTTCTTGCAAATGATGCCAGCCTCGAGTTCCTTGGCTTTGGGGGTGATAGCAAGAGCAGGAGCGGTCGAGCGTGCACGCGCAACGACTGTCTCCATGAAGTGGATAGCGCCTTTGGCATCGATAGTGGTGCGAGGAGCCGTCATTCTCTTGCCAGCAATATACGTAGGCGCTTGCTTCATGGCGGCAATGCAGTCCTGGAGCAGATCCTCGAACCAAAGCTCGACAACAATGGAGCGAGCGGACTGCTTCTTCATGTCGTCGATCATGTGCACCAGAACGCTCATCAAGCGCTTGCTGGAGCAGTTGAGAATGTGGTGGCGGCGCCGTGCAACCCCATCCGACTCGAGGCGCAAATTGCCCTGGCGGACTCCGTGATAGATCTTGAACAAGTCTTGCAAAGCCCAGTTCCAGAAGGAGTCGTACACTCGCACCTTCCTCTTGTCGAAGTACGGCTTGATTCCGTTGGCGTACTCGTTCCCATGCTCGAGGTTCCACAGATCAAGCTCGTTTTGCATGCTCTGCATGTCGTTCTTGAGTTGCGCAACCTCCTCAGCTGCAGCATGATTGTTGTCGCCAAGATGGCGAGCATATGCCTCACTGATCTCACGATGAAAATCATTGGAACGCTTGTTCAGCGCATCTAAGGCCTTGGAGTCAACAGCGGGCGAGATTGCAGCTTGGGCGACTGCAGCAGCAGCAGCAGCTTTGGCAATAGTGATACCGGCAGCAGAAACGTAAGCATTCGTGGTGGCCGACCAAAAGTCATTCGCTTCAGCTTCAGAACCGAGACGCGCTGCCGGTGGGGTTTGGATGGCCATCAGCAGGATGGAGTCCTGCCGACCTGCGCCAAATCCGCCGGCTTGCAGCGCGTCGCGGGCCTTTGACTGATTGAAGCCACCGGGCATCTTCGCGCTGAAGAACCTGTCGACGAGCGACTTGGTGCGCTTGCCCAGCGAGCCATTGAAGCTCTTCTGGAGAATTGAGACAAGGTCGTTCAGCGGTAATTCCTCTGCACCATCTGGTACTGAGCCGAACTCGGCGTCCAGATCTCCTATGATCTCATTCTGAAGGGTGGAGCGTCCTATAAAGTCGTCAGCCGTCGCGTTCCATTCGCGTCGTGCTGCATTACCACTCACCTCCCGACAGCGTCTTGACCGACTTGTTAAATGCAACGCCCTTGGCCGGCTTCTTCAACGCGATAGACACAATTGCAGTAACAATCTCCTTTGCCTGGACACGTGCGTCTTCAATAGGAGTCGCAGAAATGGGTGTGGGGACAGGGCTTTGTTGGGGGCTGACAACTGGCTGGGCGGCCGGGGCCTCCCGCACGGCAAGTGCAGCGGGAGCGGAGGTTGGCGCTTCCTTTTTCGGCGCACTTGTAGCCTTCAACACTCTCTTCTGTCCAACATAGTACACATCGTCGCGATTCTGCTTCAGCGACAGAAACTCACGCGAGATCGAATTCGCGGTGTCGTAGGGGCGGTACACGAGGTCTCGTGTCCGCTTCATCATGGTTGTCAGCGTCGCCGCCGGGCTACAGGTGGGGGTACGAAGTCATTGTATGTCCCGCATGCAGTTCCTACATACAAACTTACCCAATCTCTACCGTCTTTCGGGTCCCAAATCCCGACAGTAGCAGGTCTTGTGTCTCCGTCCATCTCACCGGCGAGCAGAACTGGTGTCTGGCAGGGGTTAGTAGCCGCTACCGTGAACGAGGAAAGAACTACACACGCCAGAAGCTCGATAAGCAGCGTATGACACAGCTCCTGTCGCCGAGAGAAGCCCTCGTACGAATCCATATTTGCTGAGCTGTTAGTAGGCGGTGGAAAATACGATTGATTTCGAAGTGGCTGCTAGTTGTGGAACGAGAGATTGTCGGCTGTCTAAGAGCGAATGCAGTGCATGTCAGGGGGTAAAGGCCCTTCAGTCGAAGATTATGAGTTCCATGTATGGCGCTCTGGAGAAGATATGTCTACCTTCACCTTCTGGAGCTGATACCAAAGCACGCGAGTGGGCCACATGGCGTTCAAGCGAGAATCTGCCCTCCCGAGGCTGACAGCGTAGGATGGGGACGGCGTAACGGTCACTCCGAACACGAAATCCTACCATGCAACTTGAGACTGTAAAGAAAATCCTCAGAAAAGCGGAGAACTCAGTTCTTGGAAATTCCATCTCAAAAGCATCGGAGCACTTCTGCTAGCGGCCGGAACATTCCTTCCAGGCCATTGCGCGTCTTTCCGCGTCGATTTGCTGGTCAGCCCATCGCTGATCGATAAAGCCTGCGACGTCCTGCATCGAGGAGCCCTCCGAGGGAACTGGATGGCATCACATCTCACACCAATTAACCTCGTCGCTCCCGATGGTGCTAGCAGGCAGGAGAGAAGTATTAATCCTGCAGAGAGGCTACGTGCGCACTTGTAAGGTAGAAATTTCTAGATGCAGAAGATAGCGACGAGTCTTAATAATACTGTTTCATCATGCAAAATACAGTAGATTGTTGCGGTGTTGTGGCAATTATTAGGCTGGTATTACTCCGTAGGTAAAAGCTAGTAGAGGCCGACTTCGCTTAGAGTGGCCGCGATGAGGCAAGACTGGTTGCTGGAATCGCCAAGTGCCTCCTCAGGGGTAATGAGTTCATCATCCGATTATGCCACGTGATTTAAATTACGTGATGGCGTCGGCTCATGCCAAGAAACCACTTGCAGGCGACTCACAGCAATCGGGATGGGACTCGACCAGTATTACGAGTACATCAAGAAACCTGCGAGCCCCCAGAAGGACAGATAGCATATAGTTCTTACCGCGCCCTTATATGGAGAGCCCTTTCTTTGATAGTACTGCATCAGATGCTTGAACTATCCAATACCACCTCGTTACTCTTCCTAACCCGACGCTCCTGGATACACTACTCTTCATTCAACTCATAGTATACTGAAGAATCCTGCAGCCTTCTCTCCTTCTCGCTTCCCCATCCATAGGGGACGGAATATACACCCGCCTCTACTCTTGGCAGACTCTCTCTCTTCTCTCCCCGTTGGCCGCATACCATATACCGTTACTACGCGAAACCTGGTGTCTTGCGAGCTGTGGTAACACAATGCCCTTAAGATACCGGCTTTACCAACACTTATATTAAGACTGATTCGAGATGACAAGAGCTTCTTACCTGGTTCTATCATCAAGATAGTGCAACAGGCTAAAAAAGAGTTAGCTTTAATGGTGCGCACACCTCCTACCTGCTTACGGATAGCCTCTGTGGTTGATAAGAGACAAGGAGCTTGCTAACCATTAGGGTCAACATGCAACTTAGCAATAGCGAGACAGTACAACTAATCAAACAACTTAAGCAGACATAAGGATGCTGTTATAGGACAGGATTATACTGTCGCTGGGACCGCTGGGACCGCTAAGGCTCCACAGCGGAGGGGTAACACGAACACCGACCCATGGTGCACACGTGGCAAGGTTTCCAAGGGAAGGTCTGCAAGATGCTTGCAAACATGTGCGAGAGATCACGGGAAAGTGCTGTGGTCGACTGCGCACGGCCGCAGAATATGATGGTATATAGTTCTCACCGCGCCCCAGGTTTCGAGGGGCATAGATAATTCCTCCTAATAGCAGTGTTCTCAAAAGGCAAGCAGAACAATTAACATTTTCAGCTGAACTTGAATCGATTGCTACAAGCCGAGTAGTGCAATTGACTCGATTGACTTGATAGCTCTTCAAGTCGTATTTAATTACGAAGTAATTGATTGATTGATAACTCAATGCTAAGTAGATCAGGTATAGTACATATTACCAAGTAGTCATATCCTAGCCGCATATATGATAGATCCTAACTATCTTGTTGTGAGGAAGCTTCTTATCGTGATTTGATGGAATCCAGAAGCCTGCGCCGCGCTAGCTGCGTAATTGAGATCCCATTCTGCGCCTAAGTTGAAGTAATTAACTAGTCTCTGTACTTCCTTAGTCTTAACTCTATTAAATGTCTCGCGGAGATTCTAAAGCAGCAGATTGTTAATCTCTACCTAACGCTTCAATGTTAAGGAGGTTTATCAACTATACGTAAAACGCTAGGGCGGGTCCCCTAGGTCGCTATTGACAACCTTATTAACGGCGTCCTGGAGAGAATTCAGGGTATCATTAAGGCCCAGGGTTAGCTGACAAAGTATTAGGAGATAAGGGATCTATTTATTCCTCGTAAACCCTAAATGTGTGATAGTTCGTATGGAAGCGAAGTGATTTTAGCGTTGTAGAAAAGTGTGTGCGTCCTTTTGCGGAGGGACTGTAGGTTAGTCTCGAGGACAGGGGTACCGCAAAGACGCCCTACTAACTCAAATACATTGAATCCTCCAATTAATGCTGATCTGTAAGTATTTTGAAACAGAATCAGGCGTAGTCCCTCTCATCACATCTCGAAACCAGCTCTCAGTTCTCGAGATTCGCCTACGCTACCTAACCTTATTGTAGGGACGCAATCTGATTAATCAGCCAAGCATTTCCCACCCTCTCGATTGAACTAGCACTAAAGAATATTCGAATAAAGATTAGATTGATGGTTGACAAGTCTATTGGCAACTTTTAGAGGTTATAACATGAATATCAAACGCTAACATAATCACTTGATCATCTCTGTTCGCGATGATGATGATTTAGGATCTCTAGTCAACCTTTTGTATTGCATTGCGAATAAGTATCTATAATTCATGGTCATGCTTCTAGTCTATTAGCCAGTTGCTGAATAAAAACATCCAGCTTGAAGTCTTTTGTCGCCTATTTATGCTTACTTTATGAATGACTGGCCAATCTCATCGATTTCATTCACCATACTATTCAGCGTCTCTTTTGTCGTTGTCCCATTGGTGACGACACGCAGAAACTTTCCCACTGGGCCAGGAGCATAATCCACCATGAAACCTTTGCTTGGAAGGCCCTCGCTGATATAAGCCGTGATTGCAGTGTTGTGCTTTGCGGCCATATCATGCTTGTCTGTCATTCTAGACGGCATGTAATAAAAGCAGACTTGTACACTCTGAGGTACAGCTGCTATCTCCATTCGGGGATGATTCTTGATGAGAGCGGCGAGATATGCAGCCATGTCAAAAGCGTTATCAACGTACCGCTCGTAGCCAATTCGACCATAGTACACCCAACCAAGAGCGAGTTTGAGAGCGTCGCCTTTGCGACCGCATTGTGGAGTGAATTCCGCTAGGTCATATGTGTCATCGGCATCGTTGGTTGCAGCAGCCAGAGGAGCATCTTCGTGGAAGAGATAGCCGGCATCGATAGAGTTAGAGGACCGAAACTGCCTCAAATCACGCCCTAGCAAGAAGCTGCAGCTGATGGGAACGCTGAGCATTTTATGGGGGTTGATAGTGATTGAATCCGCTCTTTCGCTCCCCTTCAGCCTCCATGACTGCCGTCTCGTGAATATAGCTGATCCACCCAGTGAGCCGTCCACGTGTAGCCAGAGTCCAAACTCCTGGCAGACATCAGCTATTTCGTCAATGGGGTCGTATGCTCCGCGGACGGTCGTACCCGCGGTGGCATTGACGTAAAACGGGTGTTTGCCTTGATCACTGGCATCAAGGATACTCCTTCGAAGCGCGGGGACGGACATGCGCCCTTCGGCATCAGTAGGTATCTTGCAAACGCCTTGAGAACCAATTCCGCTCATTTGAGCTGCTTTCTCCAGGCTGTAATGGCTGTCGACTGACGTAAACATAACCAACTGTTGTCCCGAGATCCCAGTCTCTTTAATGAATGGCATAGCTTGATGTCGGGCAATGAGTACCGAGTTGAAGTTTGAGGCTGAGCCTCCTGGCTGCGTAATGCCACCAGAATATGTCTCCCGGAGCCCAAACATGTTGGCTAGAGCACGGCCTGTTTGTTTCTCGATAACGGACAATGCGGGTGAGACTGTGTACACGTGTGACTGGATTAAGGCTTTAACATCAATTTCACAAATGTCGCATTTTAGGCTTACATTTGTATTAAGTATAGCGAGAATCAACTCAGATATCACTCCCACCGGGTTGGTGCCAGAATAAAGTTTGTGCATGAAACCATGATCCCATGTGTTGATAGATAATCGTAAGATACGGTCCGTGAGTTCGAGAAGACCATCCTTTCCCTGTGGCTTATCGGTGAGGTTCAGGCTGAGACGCTGGGAAACGATCTCCGGTGGTAGAAGTGCGGCGGCCTGGGAATGAGATATTGCGCCATTGCGCTGACCTGACTGTCTCGCGGCATTGGAAGCATCTGCTTCAGCAACATGGTCGAGCAGAATTCCCTTTACTAGTTCCAGAAGCTGGGTGAGTGAGTATCTTCACCTAAAATTTTCATGGCGCAGGAACTCACGCTGGAAAGCTCAGTGTATCTACCCGAGCTAGCAGTTGGGGAGACCGACGTAAGAACCCTTTCTAAACCCATCTTGAATGAGGTGAAAAAAGCAGTATGAATTCAACACAACGGCAGAGAGCAGAATATTAACTAGCTGAAAGAGATATAATGATCACGAGAGAGAAGTAGACTAAGACACCACACGAAGCCCTGCACCGAAACTCAATGATATAGTGTAATAGCAGGATACCTAGGAATAAATTACGAATAATACGACAGAAAGACAGAAAAAGAAGGAGTATGGCCTGATGGTGGAACAAATTTCTGCTTCGAGCTAATTTCACGGCTGTTTACCTGTTACAGTACACGTACGTCTACTATGTAAGAAGAAAATGCACTCCGCGCCCAAAGAAACCTACCACCCGGGATTTCCCTGTTTGTATACCCCACTATTAATAACACCGTATTTCATTCTCACCGAATAGATGAGATGCATGCCCGTGTCCGTACGGATCCGGCCTCTAATGCAAGGGGCTCCCGCTGGTTTTCCCGAGGTTTGATCAGATAATCAAGCCTAGAATTTTATAAATAAATTACATGAAAAATAACACTGATCACCATTTTGTGCGACTACCACATGCCTGGATAACTCCCCAGCAGCGCTTCCTCATGTTCTTGCTGTACTTCGAGTATTTATTAAAGCTGATTTCTCCCTCTCTTCTGCAAGATATTGACGTAGCTCTACCTCAGTATGTGGACACTGTTTCTGTGCGCGATAATATAGCAATCTCCAAACGTTTTTCAACAAGGTTCAAACCCAGGTGAGTTTGCTGGCAACGACGGCTTTGTAATTCCTAGCTCTGTTGAGCTTGCCATCATTCCACCCTGCATCCTCCTCAACAAACGGCAGCAGTCCTCTGATACTAAAAGGGTTAATTGCCTAAACCACCTTAGACCCAAAGCCTTTAAATTTCAGAAATCAGCAGTTGGGTAGGAACTGGTCTTCTGCTTGCCTTGTCATGAAGACTTCTCTGTATTTTATCACGCAGAAAACTTGTCATACCAGCCCAAAGAAGCCTACTGCTCATCAGTCCAATTTAGGTGCTCCCACACCTATAATTCCTGATCCTTTATGTGCTTAGTGTAAGAAAAGGCTTCTCTGTTGCCTCGCATCTATGGTATTGCTCTTTTGAAAAACCAATTAACGTACGCTGAGAGACGTTAATTCCTAGTTCATGGGCGACCTCCTTACGCGTTTTCCGCCTCCGCCCTGTATGCTCTGTTGCGGAGCGCATGCAGAATTCAAAGAGGTGTACAGATTTTTTGACGGCGACCTTGTCGCTTTGTTGGCGTCTCTGGTGCGCTAAGGTAATTAGAGAGTGTGGGCAGAGGTCTCCTAAGCTTCTGAGAAATCTCCTTCTGCTTGAAGCCTGCCTCTCTAAGGATCCAGATGCGAACGTGCTCCTTGTACGTAAGCTGACAGGTTAGAGTTTTCATAATTTGGGAGGGATTTGGTACCTCTAGTTGTTAGGAATCAGCTTACAAATATGCATATCGTATTCGAGCCGATTCTTCACACGGACAAGGGAGTAACTTGAACGAGCCACCCATCCACGAGAGGACCTTGCATAAGCGGGAGGATGGGCGCTAACGGCCCCGCAAAATCTCTTCGGCCAATGAGGCAACCCCGCCTTACCTCTCTGAGCCACCTCAGGTCACCAATAATCGGTTGTAGGTGGCGAGAAAGTCAGCGAACAGAAAGATGCTTCACATTCTATTGAGAGTCAGATCAATTGTGGGCGGCCACCTATCGTGTAAGCACTAAGATTTAAAATAGCTTACTGTACTAACCACGATATTCTTGCACGATAGTACATGGTCGTATATACTAGGCCTCGTCGCATGCTAACATTACTCAGTGTACTAACCTTGACACCAATATTACAGGCGAGCAGATGCCCCGGCTCGTTACGAGAAACACACAAGCAATTAGTCTTGTGCGGAGAGTACACCCGGTAACCTTCGTGTATTTGTACAGATGGTGTGGGCGGCAACGAGGGTTTTCCACAAGCATGGAGAAACAGGAGGGACGAGCTACTACTAGAACGATATGTGATTCGATCTCGAGCTTGCGAGATGCCAATGGTACGCGTTGTGATGTCATTCCTATCACGATTGCATTGCTGACTGGGGGAAGATGGACTGAAAGATCTCTTATGGCAAGAGAGAGCTCCGCTGCCATTGTGGCCGGATATAATGGGGATAATGGAGAGGTCATTACAATCAAAGCGCCGAGCTGTTGACCTCGTTGCAGCAAGCCATCCGGAAACAGCTCGTTCCATGAGTTCGAGGATTATACAGCAAAGCGATTTGGACCGACTCGACTTACTGATAAGGTACGTGAGGTAATCCCCATGTAATAGTTTGCAACGGTAGCTGCTAACTTGTCCCGAGCGTACCTTACCTGCAAGAAGAAGCGTGCCCTGCTCAATCACGCCCTGCTCAGCCAAGCCCGGAACAATACACCCCTCGCACCAGTAGTAGCTTATCAACGTCAAACTCCGACCACCAGGCTCTTTACGATATTTCCGGGCACGTTAACGACTGCATGGATATTTTGCTTGTGGATTCACCAAAAGGGGAAGTTGAGCACTGTGACGACTTGGGCGAAGTCATGGCAGACTTTCTCGGAGATGCTATGAATATCACTTTTGACGAATCATTGGACACCAAAACCCGTTGCTGGAAGCATGGATGCAACGGTAAAAGTTTTTCTACCCGCAGCAACCTCCTACGGCACCATGTTGAAAAGGGGAAGGCACGACCTAAATTCACGTGTCCAGTCTGTGGCGCATTTTTCAGTCGGGCCACTGCAAGGAATCAACATGTGGAGAAAAGAAGTTGCAACAGAATCCGCCGGTACTCCAACGGGAGAGAAAGGCCGCGCCCTAGAGTTATAGACTAGCCAGCATTATAGCATAGACATCTGTCGTGGGAACTTGGACAGACCGTTCCCTAGGGTCATTCTGCCCTCTGTATCAGTAAATTATTCTACATCATTCTGTCTATTCCTGACAGAACCCATTAGAAACATAATCCTAATGACTTATTATCTCAATACCATGGCAGACGATATCCAAGACGCCAGTAACATTGCCTTCATTATCGACATCTTCGTTATGCAAATCCTGACATTTGGGGTTGTGGATGTCGCGAAATAATCAGGCCTGTATCAGGAGTTGGGTTGATACAACAAGTATGAGCAGAGAGCTTACGCGTACGACGTGAGGGTCAGGATTGCAGTCGGCCCATTGAGCGTATAAGAACCCAACGAAATTCTTGGCGCTCTGCAATATTTACGCTCCTCTCTTCTGATTTCTGATGAGAACGACACAATTTAAATCTATAAGAGTCTTATGGTAGTATCTCCTCTACATGTAGAATCTTTTACCCCCTTTTCTTTTTTAATTAATATTGCATAGTTGTTGAGAAAAAGAGGATTGTTAACTATTCTCTTCTACAGTTTAGAGCGCTCGCTTAGTAGTCCTAGCACGCAAAATGCAAAATTTTACAAATCTGCGCTGTACAACAGCATCTCATTCTAACATAGAATACACACGATAATATTATTTAGAGAAGAGCTTCTCTAGTTAGATGTATTCTTTTTATTCAGACATATATTTGCGTTGCTGGGATATGAAAGAAAATGTGCTAGGGAAACGCAGGTCCCACATAGCGCTGATAATTCTATCGATTTTTGCATACGGCAAATGGACCAGAAGAGGGGCCGGAACGGAAAACGATTACCCAATGCTGACTTGAGACCGGTTACCTCGATGCCCTCCTTCCCTCCTTTGTCTCTCGTTCAGCGTCTAGTTGCGGACCTCACAGCCTGGCTACCGTATCTGACCTGCGTTGCATTTCTTCGAACCCACTCGCCTCGGCCTGCCTGTGTTATTTCGCGTCAATAACCGCGACTCTCCGACCGGTGACACCTGAGATCATCTCTAGCGAGGCACTCCATACCGACCCTGGGGGCCTTTTGTTCCCCGTTTTCACGAGAACTCGGATCCTATAATCCTTCGATCCTTCGATCCTGCGATCCTGCAATCCTCCGATCCTGTGATCCTTCAATCTTACGATCCTGCGATCCTGCAATTCTTCGGCCCTACGGTCCTGAGCCTTCGCGTATTATAAGGCTAATAATTATCCACAAATTTCCTGCGCTAAAGAGCCGCAGCACCCGCCTACTATGAATCCCTTGATTGAAATCGTATCTGGGCTTTCATGGCTACTGACATGAGCTGTGTCTCACGCCTTTTCCATTATATCAGACGTCTTCGTACGCTTTGCTAGCCAACTGCGCCGACGCCTGAGCTTTCAACCATATGCTTCGACTGCAGCAATACGAAGACAATAATTTTCATGATCCTTCGCGAAATGTGGTGAGCACCCAAAGTAGCCCTCTCGTAAGAATCCCACAATCATCTATCCCTCGGCAAAGATGGGTGAGGATTGACGTATCTACAGCTTCTTGCAGCACCAAGGTCCTTGAAGCTGCGAGTTTGGCTGCGACCGTCTCCAGAGGCTCTATTTTTAGTGTTGTTGTGATCGCGATCATGCCAGCAACTTCGGCAGGCAACTAGTTGCAGCTAATGATTCTGTAGGCCTTCCCCGAGGGTGTAGCTGCCAGAAAGAACAACTATAAGGTCTGTAGAGCCACTAGCGTAGAAGAGAAGTATAGAATTATATTAGTAGATAAATTCTTAAAAGCTTAGTGGGTTGAAATAAAATATATATATACTTTATTTTACAAGCGTTAGCAAGTAAAATCTATAATTCATTCTCTATACAAAGGTGCTTTTAAAATGTAAGATCTGCTAGCCTATACAGCTGTAAAGGTAGTACTAAATAGAAAGCACTTTTGAAACAAACTTACAAACAGCTTATTTTTACATAATAAAGTGTATAGTATTGTTTAGTAAAGCAAAACTTATAGAGTTTAAAGTAGATGTCTTCTAAGTAGCTTCTAGAATAGATTCTATTTAATATTTAGTAATTTACCTTTAAACAGTGCTTTTAAAACCTACTAGTTATAACTATATATAATTCTACTACTAGTAGAGCTTAAGATATTGCTTTGCATGTTTTAGTTAACTTAGACATGCTTAGACTCTTTCTAGAAAGCTTTTAGCCTAGCCTTAAGCACATAACATTTTATTACATGCTATTATATGTATATATATTCTTTGCTAAACCTCTAAGTCTTTTTAAGAATTTATTTATTAATGCTGTTTTATAGTCTTTTCTATACTTTATGCTTTCTACTTTAACGTACACTACAGGAGAGTTGCTTACACACCTAAGTTACTTACTTTACTAAGACTCTACTAAACTACTTTTTCTACACTAATGCATTTCTAACAACACTAACTACTTAAACATGCTAAAAGAACATTAGATACAGCTTACACTTTAGGCTTTTAAATAAAATATAATACCTTTAAAGTAACATCAAGTAGCTAGAGCGTTAGTTAGTTTAAATAGCATAATAAAAAGTTTATATAAGGCGCCTAAAATTTAGAATGTAGTTATCTATTTATAGCCTTTCTTAATTATTATCTTGTTAAACCTATCTTATATGTTAAACTTTATAAAGTGTTTAGTTCTTTTTAGCTAGTTTATAATGTTTTATATAATAAAGAGTAGAAACTAGTCTTAAATAGTGTTTTTATTAAGGGTTTAATAGTTCTAGTAAACTTTAATTTTCCCTTCCTTCTTTTTTATAAACACTACTACTAATACTATTAAGCTATTACTTTTTTAGATGTGGCCTCTTACTAGCATCTTGTTTATATATTCTTGTAACGCCTTTTTTTTTAGAGTTTTGTTAAGAGTCTTAGCTTATAGGTTTTTAGCTATAGGTTTAGCTTTAGGTTTATAGCATAGTCTTATAGCTAATGCAGTAGAAGTTCTTTTAGGTCTTTAGAGGTTTTAAACATATCCTAATAGTTACTATATTCTTTAGAGATTGTGTGCCCTAGTTGTTGCACTAGTTATTATATTTTAGCCTATTTACTTCTTTATTAGTAAGCATCTTCTTAAGCGTAGTTTCTTTAAGTTCTTTCTTTATTATTTAAATTACTCTAGCTTTAAGTTTCTAGTAAAGAAACCTTTTTATTTTTTATTTTTTAAGATGCTAGCTAGCTTCTTATTTTACTTATTTATGTATTTAGCAGGTGTTCTTATAGCACACTAACTAAGTTATAGTAGCATGTTGTTTAGAAGCCTAGATAGTTATGTTTCTCTAGTTAATTTTAGAGTTATGTTTATATAGCTAGTTATAGCCTAGTATAGCTTAATATTTTCCTTTTAAAGGCAATATGCTAATAGACTTTTAGTTAACGTACTTCACAGACAAGTTGCTTACACACCTAAGTTGCTTACTTTTGCTAAGACCCTACTAAACTACTCTACTTACACTAATGTATTTCTAACAACACTACTTAGACATGCTAAAAGAATGTTAGATATAGCTTACACTTTAAGGTTTTAAATAAAACATAAAACTTTTAAAAAAACATGCTGCAGCTATGTATAAAGTTTTTTAAAAAATAATAAATAACTACAGCACTAGATAACTTTTATAAGCTAATTCTATAGCTAACTTATAAAGGCTAGGTAATAATAAAGAGTAAGTAATTATTAAGACTATACTTAAGCTATATGCGTAAAGATTTTCCCCTTAAGTAGCATTTATAGCTAATATAGCTAATTTTTTGCGCGCTAAGTGTAATCTAGGCTATGTTAGCATAAACTAGCCTAGTATATTTATAAAGTGCTATTTAAAGCTTAAAGTAAAGTTTTAAGCGTAAGTATAGTTAATAGATATTTAGCTTATAATAAAGCCTATTTTACTAAAGTTATACATGTTATTATTTTAGATGCTATACTTAGCTTTAATATTCTTTATAAGGCTAAACCTGCTTTAAATTACTTTAGAACTTTTATAAAAAGCTCTCTTATAGTTATACTACACTTAAATGTTACTTTAAGCTCTAGATAATGCTTTCTAAACATACTAAGCTAGTTTATGCTAATATAGCCTAGATTGCGCTTAGCGCGTAAAGAATTAGCTATATTAGCTATAAATGCTATTTAAAAGGAAAATTCTTGTGCATATAGCTTAAGTATAGTCTTAATAATTACCTGCTTTTTATTATTACTTAGCCTTTATAAGTTAGCTGTAGAATTAGCTTGTAAAGGTTATCTAGTGCTATAGTTATTTATTATCTTTTAAAAGACTTTATACATAGCTGCAGCATATTTCTTTAAAGGTTTTATGTCTTATTTAAAAGCTTAAAGTATAAGCTGTATCTAATGTTTTTTTTTAGCACGTCTAAGTAGTGTTGTTAGAAATGCATTAGTGTAAGAAGAGTAGTTTAGTAAGGTCTTAGTAAAAGTAAGCAACTTAGGTGTGTAAGCAACTTGCCTGTAAAGTACGTTATAAGTGTTCTTTATTTTAAGTTTAAGTTCTGTTATTTTAAAGTAAATGTATCTTTTTTTAAACTTAATTAAGGATGCGTCTGTAAAAGTAACCTTAAAAAGTTAATCTTTTATTCTATATAGTATGTCTTAGTAATCTACTTATTCAGAGTCTATAGCAGTAAATGTGCATCTGCTGTTAATTAAGGCAGTCTCTCTACGTCCTTCTAATATAAATTTTGTTGTAAGGCTTTAACTAGTTCCCTATCTAACTGCTATTAGTGCTTTTATGTTATAGTATATAACATTGTAGTCTAGGGTTTTATCTTTCTTAACATTTTCTATAATAGTTTCCTGTTCTGCCATGTAGTCTGTCTAGAGTCTATGCTTTTAGTAGCCTTTAACTATGCAGTCTTCTACTAAGCATTATTAGTTTTCTACTTAGTAATGTTACAAAAGTTAGTTATTTACCTAGTTTAC